TATATATATATATATATATATATATATATATATATATATATATATATATATATATATATATATATTTTGGATGTTAATCTGCATGATTTGTTCGTTTGTTTTGTTGTTTTTAGGAAGTGAAGATATTCACTGACGCGGGGCGGGCGATGCGGCCCCTTTACGTCGTCGATAGTGTGAGTTTCATCGACTGCATTTCTGTTTTTTCTTTATCCTTAATATTTATATAATTTATATGCTAGAATATATGTAGCTATTATTAAATAAACTCAAGTATGGGTTTGTTTCTTTAGAATATACTTATTCTATGTCTATGTGTGTTTCATATGTATCGTACATGTTGTTGTATCCTGCTGTGTTTGCTTTTGCTGCTACTAATGCCTTTGTTGCTGCTGCTGCTATTGCTGCTGCTGCTGCTGCTGCTGCTGCTCTTGCTGCTACTGCTGCTGCTGCTGCTGCTGCTGCTGCTGCTGCTGCTGCTGCTGCTGCAGGAGACAGGCGAGCTGCGTATTCGTAAGGGAGATGTAGAGAAGGTGCGGGCGATGTCGGGTACAGCTGAGAAGGGGGCGGGGTGGAACCACTTGATGGCTAGCGGTGTAATTGAATACATCGATTGTGAAGAAGAGGAAACATCTATGGTTGCGATGTTTCACAAAGATCTCATAGAAAAGGGAAAGTAAGCGCAACATAATGCAACGACAACTTGTTGTTTATTTCTATTTAAATTTAATTATTTATTATTTATTTAAATTTATCTATTTATTTTTATATTTAAAAACAAAATAGTTCTAGTTTTTGTTATGTTCATGTCAGTATATGAATTCAATGGATTTCTTGGTTGTGTACAAATAGATGAATTTAGCTATTCGTTTTGTTTCAAATAAATAGATACTTGTTTACTTTACTGTAAATAAAAAACAAATGTAATTATTTTCTTTTTTTTTTTGCTTTTTTTTTTTTTCAGATCGATCCCATACACACATTGCGAGATTCACCCTTCGTTGATTTTGGGTGTATGCGCATCTATAATACCTTTTCCTGATCACAACCAATCGCCAAGAAATGTTTATCAGAGTGCAATGGGAAAGCAAGCGATGGGTGTATATACAACGAATTTTAATTTGCGTTTAGACACCCTAGCACATTTATTATATTATCCACAGAAACCACTCGTATGCACAAGAGCAATGGAGCATCTTAAGTTTAGAGAGCTTCCTGCTGGTATAAATACGATTGTAGCTATTTTATGTTATTCTGGATATAATCAAGAAGATTCACTTATTATGAATCGTAATAGTATTGATAGGGGCCTCTTTCGTAGTGTATTCTGCCGCACATATTGCGCAGAAGAGAAACAACAGGGATCGCTTGTTGTTGAGGGGTTTGAACAACCTAACCCTGAAACTACTTCGGGAATGAAAAGAGGAGATTACTCAAAACTCGATACAGATGGACTCGTAGAACCAGGATCGAGAGTTCTCGGGGATGACGTCATCGTGGGCAAGGTGCATCTACACCCAACCGCAGCGATATTCTAGACTGAAATATATATGCTTTTTATAAAATATATCTATTTTTTTTGAATATCATGTACTGTGATGTAATGTTATATATTCATGTACTGTGATG